GACGGAAAGACGTCTGCTGATCCCCTGGCAGGAGGCACATTTGATGAGTGGTTTATAGTGTTTTTTTTTTTTCCCCTAAACAACCCCTTGCACATTTTATCATTTTGCGGTTCCCTCAGAATCCAGGCTCCATTCATGACAGAACAGCCTCAGTTCCACGACCAGCAGCAGATCATGATCGGAAAGGCAGGAGGACCAGCCTGCGGTCTGCATGCATTTTGAAGTTGTTTTTATTCAGATCATCTTTTTACAGCACTTGGCAGATGCTGCATAGAGAACCTCACAAACCCGTAACATTCCCGATCAGGGAGTTTCAAGTCTTGGCTGTCATGGCACAGAGCTACCTCTTGGGCCCTTTTCCACATTGACATCGTCCGATGAGCAAATACGAGGTGACACGTGTTCTCCGAGGGTGGAGGTGCAGGCGGCGTGCTCTGAGCCCAGAGGGCGGCCCACAGCACCGTGAGTCAGCAGCTGCTAACCAGAGCGCGTGGTTTGCCTCCCATCTCGGAGTCTGCGAGCTGAGTCTGAGGTGACCGGCCTCTCTGGGCCTCAGTTTCCTCAGCTATCAAGTGAGGGTGGTGATAATTCCCGCCTCCCGGGCTTGTCCTGAGAATTGAGCTGAAAGAAGACCAGCGCTTGGAGCTGTGGTTGCCCATGGAACGCACTCCTTATATAACGGCTACTACTGCGGGTTACCCGTGGGCAGCCTCCCAGAAAAGCTGGGACCCCGCCCTCAGCCGCATGGCAGCTCATCAGAGACGCTGGGGTCCCTAGGTCATCGGGGGCGCCACGTTCTCCCAGGGTTGCCTTTCATGCCACTGATGCTTATTCTAGACCAGGGGTGGGCAAACTTTTTAGCTCGAGGGCCACAATGGGTTCTTAAACTGGACCGGAGGGCCGGAACAAAAGCATGGATGGAGTGTTTGTGTGAACTAATATAAATTCAAAGTAAACATCATTACATAAAAGGGTACGGTCTTTTTTTTTTTTTAGTTTTATTCATTTCAAACAGGCCGGATCTGGCCCGTGGGTCATAGTTTGCCCACAGCTGTTCTAGACGCTAGATTCTAGAGCATCCACTGAGGGGTTGCCCGCCAATACCCACTGACGCCCAGGGACGAGACTGGAGAAACTGACCTCTCTCGCCGGAGCCCACCAAGCCAGTCCCTGTCCCTCCAAGCAAAGAGGCCGCCCTTCGTAAGACTCCGTGCAATGCTTAGAACACAGGCAACATGATTAGAACAACAAGGTTTGGAATCACCATTTCGCTCTTGCTTCTGGCCTGCACGTATTTAAAGTACTGGGGTCTGCCCTGGTGGTGTGGCTCAGTGGATAGAGCATTGGCCTGGGTCCTGGGTTTAATTCTGGTCAAGGGTATGTGCCCAGGTTTCTTGCTGGATCCCCAGTAGGGGGCGTGCAGGAGGCAACCGATCCATGATTCCCTCTCATCATTGATGCTTCTCTCTCTCTCTCTCTCTCTCTCTCCTCCTCTCTGAATCAATAAAAATATAAAAAAATTAATATATAAAAGTACTGTGGCCCCATTGCCGATGGTCCTGCCCTCAGAAGGCCCCGCTCTTGTCCTGGGGGAGGTCTCACCGTTGACTCTTGTGATGTGGTCCAGCCCCAGGCTTGCTGTTTTGTTTATTTAACTTGATTCTTCACCCTTACGGCCTTGGCCTTCGCCATACGGCCTTTCCCTGGAAGGTGAGCCGTCTCTTGAACTTCCTGAGCCTCCGGGGCTGCCTGGGGAGAGGCAGTGTCTGTGCCAAGGTTCCTTCTCAATTCCCAGCCCCCGTCTGTGGGGTCACAGCCCCGGTCTGGCCCCTGACCCCCTGGTGCGGTGGCTGCTGGCAGGGAGGTTCACAGGTTCACGGAATCCGTTAGGTTACCGGCAGGGGGTGCAGAATGCAGAGTGGAGTGGAGTGGGGTGTGGCCCTGGTCCGCCCAGTCCTCTGAGCCCTTCTCACAGCCCCGTCTCACTCCGACCGGAGGACTCAGACACACCGTCTGCTGGGCGATTGCGTGCCTGACATTTTGACTGGAAAGGGCAAGGCATGAATTAAATCACTTTTTTGATTTTTTGGGAAGCAAAGCCTTATTGGCCCTCGGTGTTAATACCACCTAATAAAGCCTCTGTTTGCCTTTGTCTGAGAATTTCCTTTCTTTCCAGGTGAGGACGCCTTCAGAGTGAAATGGAGGGTGGAACGGGGAGTGGCTATGCAGACCTGAGACGCAGCCTGAGGGCCACGGGCCATATCAGAGGAAGCAGGGGCTTCCGGTAACCGAGGGGAACCCCGAGACTCCTTGAAAAGTTGCTGTAGGCGAGCCTGTGACGACGGGGTGCCCTGTCCCTCAAAGCACAGGAGCTGCTAAACTCCACGGGGACTGCCTGCTCCTGAGAAGTGGGGGGCACTTCTGCTTTGATGCTACCTGGTGCCCCTCCCGTCCTTCAGGACAGATGGGAGGTCCCAGGAGCTGTGCCTCCCCCAGTCCCAGTGGCAGAGCCCAGAGCCGTGGGTCTGGGTCCCGGACTCCCAGCCAACTTCTCGCCACGTCTCAGGCCCCATGCGAGTCCTGTTCTCATGTGCTCGGTCGCTGAGGGACTTCAGTTCCTGCTGCCCCTGATGTTTGCCCCCAACATGTGAGGCCGGCCCCTGCCCAGCTTCCGGCGGCCTGTGAGGGCTCCCAGCCCACTCGCGGGCACTGTACTCACTCTGACACCACCGTCCCGACTCCCAGGTCCCAGGCGCTGAGCGGCTGCTGTCCACACCACACGTCGCATGTGGTCCCTGGTCCTCCCGCGCGGAGTGCACACTCACCGGGTCCTCAGATGTTCCGTAATAAGTGCTCGATTGCGAACGGCAGCACGTGCTGTGAAGGGGAGCGTGTGCGGGCTTCTGGGGCGGACGACAGGGAAACCTACATCAGTGGGGGTGAAGGAAAGGGCTTCGAGGGAATAGCTTCGAGGTGGGATCTGAATGCTGTGGAGGAGGCAGTGGGGGGAGCAGGTGCGGGAGGTCTGGAGCTGGGGTGCGGCTTGCCGTGTTGAAAGATGGGGCGGCCTGGTCCTCAGGCTTCACTGAGGTGGGAGTGGGGGTAGGGAGGGTAGAGCTGCAAGAGAAGTCTGAAGAGGGTGGAAGAGATGAAGGCATTCAGAAGAGCGGGTGTGTTGTTATTTCGTGATGAGCCGTCTGCCCCTTGACTTCTTTCATGAGGTTTATTCTTTTATTTATTCTTTTATTCTCAGGCAGATGCCAGGAGACTCCTTTGTAGGGCACCAGAGTCTGAGCTGCCTTTGTGTCTTTCCTTGGTGCTGTGACAAGGGAGACTGTCGGAGGCTTCATTGCCTTTCGCCTGTGGTCTGTGCACCGGGCGAGACTGATGGCTGAATTGTCTGCTGGGTAATTTACGTGCCTCACTGAGCCTTCAACTCAAATTTCTTTTAATCGCTATGACTTCTGGGTCTGTAGGAAAGTCACAGGGTGGAAAATGAAGCCAGAAAGCTGTGAAAGAACCAAGAAATTATTATCTGACTAGAGGCCCAGTACATGAATTTGTGCACAAGGGGGTCCCTCGGCCTGGCCTATGGGATTGGGCTGAAACTGGCTCTCCAACATTCCCAAGGGGTCCCGGATTGTGAGAGGGTGCAGGCCAGGCCGAGGGACCCCACTGGTGCATGATCAGGGCTGGGGAGGGATGTGGGAGGTTGGCCAGCCAATTGGCCGGACCCCAGCAGCAAGCTAACCTACTGGTCAGAGCATCTGCCCCCTGGTGGTCAGTGCAGGTCATAGCGAGCGGTTGAGCATCCTTAGCATATTATCAGCATATTACACTTTGATTGGTTGAACGGATGATCAGACGACTGGACACTTAGCGTATTAGGCTTTTATTATATAGCATTTGTGGGAATCTCGCCTTAAGATTCTCCAGGAAGCATTTAGTTTTGACTCACTCTGATGTGAAGTCACTAGGACAGGGCACACTGGTGGTGTTTTTCTACTCACGGTCATGGCTCTAACTTATCTCCCATGGGCTGTACTTCCCATTTCCTGAATACTGTGCACTTGATGGGGACACAGAGAAAGCCTGTCCGGTGAGTCGGGCCTGGTGCTGCCTGGAGTCCTCAGTGGGTCAGCTCCGACATGGAGTCTGCAGGGATGGGCCTGCGGGTGGGGAGAGGTTGGTGGGGACAGGAGCGGGAGGACAGGCTGTGTCTCACGCTCTGCAGGGTTCAGGCAGAGCGGACGTGCTGGAGATACACAGCTGAGGGACAGTCTTGCCTTCCTCAGGGCCTCCAGGTGGCTCTGGCAGGGCTCAGAACCTTTCTGCACGTCTGTCATCAGTTCACCCCCTTCCTCCAAACACAGGCTCCACACGGCCTCCTCTCCCCGAGGCTTCGCTGTCCCCTCTTCGTTCTCATTTATTTATTCTTAAAATATATCTTTATGATGTCAGAGAGGAAGGAAGAGAGAGATAGAACCATCAGTGATGAGAGAGAATCATTGATCGGCTGCCTCCTACACGCCCCCTACTGGGGATGGAGCCCACAACCTAGGCATGTGCCCTGACCTGAAATTGAACCATGACCTCCTGGTTCATAGGTTGATGCTCAGCCACTGAGCCACACCAGCGGGGCTCTTTGTTCTCATGTAAAGACCCAGGTTTTTATTCCAGTGAGAAAAGTGTCCGATTAGGAGAGAACTTGTCTTTCCCCCAGCACCCTGAGCCGTGTGCTCCCCTGTGCAGTGACAGCGGGTGAACGGCTGTGTCTAAGCTCACCCTGCATGCACGGGACTGCGTCTCGCTCACCCACTCGAGGGTGTCAGTCTCATAATATGTCTTTCTCTGTCGCCCACTGTTCCTCTCTAGGACCCTGCCATCAAACAAGCGGCTGTAATTTTCTGTCTTTTAAAAAACCTTCCCTTGGCCATCAGCGTCTTCTCTAACTTTTGCTCAAGTTCTCAGCAACTTTTCAATTTTTTTTTTTTAATTTAGAAAATATGGAGTGCTTCAGGAATTTGCGTGCCATCCTTGCACAGGGGCCATGAGAACCCTCTCCGTATCGTTCCAGTTTTAGTGTCTGTGCTGTCGGCAACTTTTCAAAGCAGGAAGGCGGCCTGGCTTTGCAGGGTGGCCATGGGAGTGGTGCCCGTCCCCACAGTTCAGTTACTAGCAGCCGCTCCCAGCACCCTGGTCAGGTCTCAGGTACACGGCACAGCGGTGGAGCTGCCCTAGGGCCCACGTGGCTGCTAGCCCTCCCGCCCCCAGGCCGTGTGTGTGAGCGACAGGTGTGCCTCCTGTCCCGCCCCTGCCCGTCTGCGGGGAGGGTTGCCGTGTCTCTCAGCTCACGTACAGCGGAGTGGGGAGTTACGTTGCCTCCCAGTGACAGCCCTGGGTAGCATGTTATAAAAATGAATAATCAATGAAAATTGGCCAACAAAGATGGAATTGCATCAAGGAGAGAAAAAATGGAAATTCTGGAAGTGTCATTCAAAGGGGACATCCATGGAATTTGGGAAGAAATAGCTGACGATGGACAGGTTGACACTGCCGTTATTCAAGAGGCCTGAGGTGTGCAGCCAGGGACCAGGGAGATGAGCTTATGGCTGTGAGAGCAGGGGTCCCAGGGAGGCCCCAGTGGGCACGGTACACTGACGCAGCTCCCGGAGATTTTCCATGCCATTGAAAGCACAGAAGATAAAATGTTGGAAGATGACCTGGACTTAGAAAGAAGAATGGCAATTTGCTTAGAGAAGATGTTGCTGCAAAAACTAGGTTGTACAACGTGAAGAAGGCAAGCCAGTGCAGTCTACTCTTGACACGTGTTTGTTTTTTACAAAGGAGTAAAACACTTTAACTCTCAATGTCTCAAAATGCAGCGTCCTAAGTATTATTGTACCGTTTGTTCATTTCCCTGCAATGCTTATAACCACAGGAAGAGCTTTTAATGTTTTGACAAAGACGTTTAAAGGCCATGGGAGTCCCCATGTCCCCATGATTGCTGACTGGGTTTCAGCTTGTTGCTATGGTCCTGCCTGTGGTGCCCTTGGATTGGGCGACTGGAGCCCCATCTCCCTGCCCCTCCCCCCTAACCACACCCGGGATTTCCTGTCCCTAAGGGCTCTGGTCCTGCTTCTGTGGGCTCCCTCCCTGGTTAGTCCTCCTGACACAACCAGTGTGTGCATCCTGGGCTCGAGGGGTGTCCCAGGGCAGCTCTGTGGGGAAGGTGGGTGAGCTGCCTGGCGTGTCCTGGTGCAGGTGTGTGCTGTGGGGAGGGGCAGGCAGGAGTGGAAGCGAGGGGGGCAGGCCAAGGCCGGGGGCCTCCGTCTGAACTCTGACCTCAGCCTTCCCAATGCTGGGCAGGCCAGCTCCATGGCAAGTTCCTCAGAGGCAAACCCTGGGTCTGCTTCTACAGTTATGCCTTCTATTCCTTTAAAAATCACACCCATCAGGCTGTAATCCCACCAGTGAGACTGCTCTGGTATGACCAATGACTCCCATGGTCATTCCCTCTCAGACCAATGACTCCCATGGTCATTCCCTCTCAGACCAATGACTCCCATGGTCCATTCCCTCTCAGACCAATGACTCCCATGGTCCGTTCTCTCTCAGACCAAAGACTCCCATGGTCCGTTTCCTCTCAGACCAAAGACTCCCATGGTCCGTTCTCTCTCAGACCAATGACTCCCATGTCATTCCCTCTCAGACCAATGACTCCCATGGTCATTCCCTCTCAGACCAATGACTCCCATGGTCTGTTCTCTCTCAGACCAATGACTCCCATGGTCATTCCCTCTCAGACCAATGACTCCCATGGTCATTCCCTCTCAGACCAATGACTCCCATGGTCCATTCCCTCTCAGACCAATGACTCCCATGGTCCGTTCTCTCTCAGACCAAAGACTCCCATGGTCCGTTTCCTCTCAGACCAAAGACTCCCATTGTCCGTTCTCTCTCAGACCAATGACTCCCATGTCATTCCCTCTCAGACCAATGACTCCCATGGTCATTCCCTCTCAGACCAATGACTCCCATGGTCCGTTCTCTCTCAGACCAATGACTCCCATGGTCATTCCCTCTCAGACCAATGACTCCCATGGTCATTCCCTCTCAGACCAATGACTCCCATGGTCCATTCCCTCTCAGACCAATGACTCCCATGGTCCGTTCTCTCTCAGACCAAAGACTCCCATGGTCCGTTTCCTCTCAGACCAAGACTCCCATGGTCCGTTCTCTCTCAGACCAATGACTCCCATGTCATTCCCTCTCAGACCAATGACTCCCATGGTCATTCCCTCTCAGACCAATGACTCCCATGGTCCGTTCTCTCTCAGACCAATGACTCCCATGGTCATTCCCTCTCAGACCAATGACTCCCATGGTCCATTCCTTCTCAGACCAATGACTCCCATTGTCATTCCCTCTCAGACCAATGACTCCCATGGTCCATTCCCTCTCAGACCAATGACTCCCATGGCCTGTTATCTCTCAGACCAATGACTCCCATGGTCTGTTCCCTCTCAGACCAATGACTCCCATGGTCCATTCCCTCTCAGACCAATGACTCCCATGGTCATTCCCTCTCAGACCAAAGACTCCCATGGTCCGTTCACTCTTAGACCAATGACTCCCATGGCCTATTCCCTCTCAGACCAATGACTCCCATAGTCCGTCACTCTCAGACCAGTGACTTCCATGGGCCGTTCCCTCTGGGTCTCTGAGGAGAAGCTGACACCGGTGAGGCTTCCTCCTCCTGAGATGCTTTCTCCACACAACTGCCGAGGCCGCGGTCTCTCCGGGCATCTTCTCTCCTATCTCTCTTGGTTGACCTTCTGCTATGGTTCCTTTGGCTTCCCATCTCCTTAATGTTGCTGTGTCCCTATGCTCAGCCCTTGGATTTATTTTCTCTCCTTACTCTTATTTCTGTGGTGGTCGTATCTAATCCCACAGCTCATCTGCCTGCTGCGTAGCATTAGCTACTGGCTGACAACCTCAAAATGTACAGTTAAATTTATAGTTGACCTCTCCTGGGAACAACCGACTCATCAACCTCTTTATCAATTCCATGTTTCTTGTTGGAAATTTAGGATAAAATATTCATAGTGTTCTGTTAGCAATCTTGGCTCTGTATCCAAACTATGACTTTAAAAAATTACTTTCACTATCAATACCTTAGTCTCATGCAGCATTTCTCAGTTGTCCTTGCACCAGCCTCTCGCCTGTCTCGCCCTGGCCCTCTGCAGTCTGTTTTCCACATGGTAGACAATGGAACACTTTTGAATTCCGAATCAGATTATGCTACCCTCCTCCAAACCTGTGTGGGTGTCTCCCCTCAGGTAGCATGAAACCCAGGCCTTCCCAGGCTTCCCCAGGAGGCTCACCTGTGGCGCGCCCCCACCCCCCACCCCAGCACTGAGCTCCCATCATGCTGATCTGTCCAGTGAACTTGCCAAGTGTCTTCAATCTCAAACTCCTGTAGAAGGGCATGCTCACACACAGCTCCGAAACACCCCTGTCACTGGCATTTAGACACAGTGAGAGCTTACTTCTCTCAGTGTGTAGTCTGATACGGCTCGGTGATGGTGGGGAGCATCTTGGCTTCATTCCGTCATGTCCATCTTGGCTTCGTTCCACGCTGTCACTGGGGCCAAGGCTTCTTCCATGGCTCTTTCTCCCCACCATCACCCCAGGGCCTCAGCATCTTCTCTATTCAGCGGATAGAGAAAACAAAAGAGCACAGGAGATTGTGGAAGAGGTGTGTGGCGGACATGCTAGAGGTCAGGACTTGATCTCATGGCCCCACCTAGCTGCAAGGGAGGCTGGAGATGGACGTCAAATTTATGCTGGGAGGAAATGTTGATTTCGATCAGTACTGTATCCTCAGTGCTTAGAACAGCGCTTGGCACGTAGGTGATGCCAATATATATTTGTTGGAGTCACAAGGGAATGAGTGAATGGCTATGGGAACCCTGGAGGACTGAACCTTTATCTAGGGACAGACTGAACCCTGGTGCTACGTTTTCTACAGCGGCTACCACAGTTCTTCCCTGCCCAGCTCTCGGCACTCCCTGCGAAGGGGTGGAGTTTACTGCCCTTGCCCTTGAACCTGGCTGTGCTTGGGACCCTCCTGTAAGGTAGGGGTGGGCAACGTCTGGCCTGTGGGACATATAAGGCCAGAGAAATCATTTGGTCTGGCCCTGGTCCCAGGTGGGACTCAAAATTCAATAAATCTAGGAGTTTTTTTCATAGCAACATACTTTTATATTAAGTGAATTATACTAAGCGAATGATGTTATAAATATGAAAATGGCTCTTGGCAGAAAACAGGTTCCCCATCCCTGCTGTAAGCAATGGTATGCAGCAGCAGTAACTGCCTGTAGGTGCTTTCCATGGAAAAATAACCATAGAGTCCCACCAACAGGCTGGGAACTCAGGGCTAGTCTGAGAAGACTCATTTTCATTTTATTCGCGGTTTTGATGCCAAAGGGATCTCAAGCCAGTGTAGGTAGCCACACTCCCTCCAAAGTCCCAAATCCAGGGCCAAGTGTCAGGTGTCAGGGAAGCTAAGCGCTAAGCTGTAGTGAATGTCGCTGGGATAAACGTTCCTCCTCAGAGTGTTGCTACAGGAGTGCTTCACTCCCCTGCTGCGCCCAGGCTGGGAGGAACGAGGAACGCTGGCGAGTGTGGAGCTATAATTTTCCACCAGCCCCCGAGTGCCTCTCCTTTGCAGCTGCCTTCGGTTAAGCTCAAGCAGGAGAGGCTGAGAGGTTGGCCAAGCCTCCAGAAAGGATGATTCTTCTGAGAGGACAGACATTAAGCATTAAAGGCGTCCAGTCCGGCCGATGTGGCTCAGTGGTTGAGGTCAACCCATGAAGCAAGAGGTCGCTGGTTCCATTCCTGGTCAGGGCATGTGTCTGGGTTGCAGGCTTGATCCCCAGTGTGGGGTGTGCAGCAGGCAGCCGATCAGTGATTCTCTCTCATCATTGATGCTTCTATCTCTCTCCCCCCTCCCTTCCTCTGTCTCTAAAAGTCAATAAAAACATACATTTTTTAAAAGCTTCCATTCACCGTATTCTGTGAAGCGGTGAGGAAAACA